TATGATATACATATGTGTATGTATATTAATGTATTAGTAGATGTAAATGTATGTATACGTACATTTTATACCTATATAATATTTATTATGTACATGTGTATATGAATATAACATACAGGGTGTCATTTTAATCGACGGATCCAAATATCTGCTAAAATACGCAAGCTACAAAAAAATGTTTCAGACAAAAGTTTTCGGACTTCGAGGGAGACATAAGATGATAACATTGGTTTGACCCTGAGTGGCGTCATCAAGGTCAGGACAAGGTCACTTTGAATTTTTTAAATGGAACCCACAATTTTTCATTATATGTTCATATAGCACGCTTCGAAAACTTTCTAAAACACATAAATAAAATATTTTTTTATAAAATAAATCTTGAGTTATGAAGCTTGAAAGTTGAAGTACTGTCGGCATTAGCATCATCCAAGGTGTCCAAACACTAGCTAAAACCTTTTGAATGTTGTTCAGGATTATGACATTGATAAAGGCCAACGACCTTGGCCATCTTTAGCGTGCTATAAGAACATAATGAAAAATTGGGGGTTTCATTTAAAAAAATCACTGTAACCTTCAACTAATCTTGAAAATTGACCTCAAGGTCAAAACCAATATGCAGAAAGATGACCCCCATTGTCCTGAACAACTTTTGTTTAAACAATTTTGTTGTATAGCGCTTATTTTAAAAGATATTTGGGTGGATCGATTAAAATGGCCCACCCTGTATATATACGTGGAGTCTTTCAGCTAACGATTAGAAGAAAAGAGCAATTGAAAGTAACAGAACGATTTTATTTAATTAAAACTGGCAGAAAATATTTTTGAACGTTTTTACTCTCCGAAAAGATCTGACGTCCCGCTCGCCTTTTAAAACATCACACAATCACATTATCCGCCGTTTATTGTCTTATCAATTAATCAATATTCTACTCTTACATACAGTGTTCTAATGTACTTAACCCAACACAGATCTTACTTAGACCAAACCCCTACATTCGGCCATCCTACTTTAACATTCGTCCCAAATGTTTTCATCGACATCTTCGAAAGATGATTCTTCACTATTGTCTTCTATCCAAGGCTTCATGAAATCAGCTGCTGTTGATGTATAAAGAGGTCCCTCTTGTTCTCCTATCTTTCGTACGTTGTAACGTCCTTTTTGTAAAACCTTTATTATTTCATAGGGCCCCAAAAACTTGTGTGCTAATTTTAAACCTGGACCTTGCTGAGTACGCTTGATAGCAACAATGTCGCCTTCGTGGTATTTCTTATCATTTTTTCGTCTTTTACCATAAATACGCTTGTTTTCACATTGTATCTTAGCAATACTTTCACTTGCTTTTGCTCTTTCTTCATCTCGATTTTCTTGAAAAATAGTTATCATTTCATTTTCCAATAGTTCCTTTATTTTAATGTCTTCTCGCAAACGTGCATGAGTTTCAAACAGTATGTTAAAAGGAATGTTATTTATACTTCGGTGAGTCGTCGTATTAAGATATTGCTGTGCAATATCCAAGTATTTATACCACTCTTGAGATTTTGGCGCCGCTAATTTAGTCAACAATGGTATCAACGTTCTATTGACTCGTTCTACCTGACCATTCGACCGAGGTACACCCGCCGTGGTCAAGCAATGAACAATATTTTCTTGTCTGCAGTACTCTTCGAAGTCCTTTGAAGTGAATGCAGTACCTCGATCAGAAATAATTCGTCTTGGATTTCCAAATATTGCCGCCAGCTTTCGCATACAACTTAACACTTCTACAGTGCTCGTTGATTTAGTTGCGAATAACCAAGTAAATTTTGAAAAGGCATCCACAATTACTAGAATGTGCTTGTAACTTTTCTTAGTCGATGGCAGCGATCCTAAGTGATCAACGTGAAAAGTATCCAATGGCAGGCTTCCTTTTTCTATCGGATTCAACAAACCATCTAGCTTACCCTGTTTCCTCTCTGCAAGAATACAGGTTATACAATTGCGAACAACTTTTTCAACTTTCGATCGTAAATTACAAATCCAATAATCTCGCCTTACAAGAATTTCGGTCTTATTGATAGAAAAATGGCCTTTTTCATGAGCTTCTCTTATAATTTGCGATTGCATTACTTTAGGAACTACTAGCCGAAAATCACCAGCATCTTCTTTAAACAGAAGTCCCCCTCGAATAATGTAATCAGATGACTGACCTTGTGAAGCTAAATCGCATATTTTCTTAATATCGCTATCTTCTTTTTTAGCCTTCCTAAATCTTGCAATAAATCCCTCTTCACTTTCGTCGATTACAAAGCATGAAGACAAAGGATTCCGACTCAGAGCGTCAACATGCGGCACACTTTTCCCTGATCTATGCTCGATTGAAATTCTTCCAGCATTAAAGCCCAACGTGCTATGCGCACACATAAATCTTTCTTGTTCATAGTTAACGTAAATGCACGACAATCTGTCACTATTTTAAATGATATCGTCAGTAAATATACATGGAATTTTTTTAACGCTTTAATTATCGCTAAAACCTCTAACTCATAACTTGCATACTTTTCCTCAATTAAAGTAGTCTTTCCGCTAGCATAATATATCGGATGAAACAGCTGATCATCACTATTTCGTTGAAATAAAATTGCACCATATCCGTACTTTGATGCATCCGTATGTAATTCTGTTTCTGCTCCAATTTTGTACAAACCTAATACAGGCTTTTCACTTAATTTTGACTTCAACTGAGCAAAAGCTGCTTTTTCTGTTTCACCAAAAAAAAATTTAACACCAGCTCTTAACAAATTTGTTAACGGTCGAGCAATTATTGAGTAGTTCAAAATAAATTTTTGGAAATATCCAGTTAAACCTAAAAAACTTTGTAATTGCTGTATAGTTGTAGGCTCTGGAAAAGACATGACAGCTTTAACCTTTTTTGGTGATGGACGAACACAGCCACCTTCAATTACATGACCCAGAAATTCAACCTTTTCTTGCAAGAAGCAGCATTTTTTCCAATTAATTATTAACCTAGCTTCACTTGCAGTTTTTAATACCAATTCAAGATTTCTCAAAGCATCCTCATGATTTTGCGCAAGAACAATAAGGTCGTCCATATATGTCAACACTTTTCCTTCTCGAATCAAATCTTTAAAAACTGTATTGATAAACTTTTGAAAAACTGCAGGTGAATTACAAAGTCCAAACGGAACTCTAAGAAATTCAAAATGACCATCAGGCACAATAAATGCTGTAAATTTTCGACTGTCTTCGTCCATCCGAACATGAAAAAAACCATTCTTTAAATCTAGAGTACTAAATATCTTAGCGCCCTGTAAAAAGTCTAATTGATCCTTAATCAACGGAAGAGGATATCGATCTTTAACAATTTTCTTATTAATTAATCTATGTATAATCAACACATAAACGGAATGAATCATTTTTTTTAACTTTTTTTTTAACTAGCACAATGGGGCTAGCATATTCTGATAACGACGGCTGAATAATACCTTCCGCAATCCACTGTTCAATCTGTTTATTTACTATGTCTTTCTGCATCTGAGATAAGCGTCTAGGCGATTGATACACAGGTTCATTATCTTTAAGGATCAACTTCATTGCAATATTTATTTTTCAATTTTTATGTGGTTTATAGCCATTCATGAGATTCAACAAAATTTGTTTATGCTTAATATCTTTAACATTAGAAATATCTACTCCATTCATTCCGTTCATTTCCTGTTCACAAGTTACATCAATATTCAAAATTTCTGGAAAATCAATTTTGTCATTAGGAGATATTTCATTTAACGGATTTATGAAGATCTCACCACGTTTTATGCTTACTTCAACCATACGCAAAAAATAAAAGTTTATGTCGTAATAATACATCTGACACCACATGAATAGAAATAAAGTAAGAATGCTCATCAACTGTAATTTCCGTTTGAAACTCTCCTAATGTCATGTTATTTTTAGAGCCTATTCCGCTAAAACGAATTTCATTCGCTTTAAGACATGGTGAACCTAATTTAATATACTCATCCGCTCTTATCAATGAGATATCACTACCTGTATCAATTAATGCTTCTACTTCACAACCGTTTATCACAATTTTATTATATTTACGCTGTGTAATTGGCCAACTATCTTTTGTAATATTCGTTTTATTGGGACATTTATTCGCAATGTGACCAAATTCACCACAGCTAAAGCATTTACTGCCTTGTGTTTTTTTCGGACAATTTGCACTTACATGATCTCAAACTCCACAATTGTAGCATCGTTTAATTTCCGATACTGATTTTACGTGTTCACTTGCCTTTAAACGCACTCCTTTTTCATCATCAATCCCCCTTCCGCTACGCTCCAACTTTTGAATTACTCCACCTTGTTTATCCGATCTCATAGAGCTCACTGCCGCTGTTGCTGTTTTGTCTCGAAGTGATATCTGCTCAAACGCCAGAATTGATCCTACCATTTAAAAACATTGAAGATGTGTCTGATCTCGTAACACGCTATCAGGAATTCCTTCAACAATATAATCCAGCACCTCATCATCTTCGATCAACGCTTTGTTGCCTAAAATGATTTTTTTATGTATATATTCATGAAAAGTTTCAGTCTTTTTCCAGATTCGATCCTCAAACTTTTTCCTAATTATCATCTTATTCTGACGATGAAAGAACATATTCCGAAGTTCGCTTAAGAGTACATCAAACGTTAAACCGATGTATTCAGGTTTCGAATGTAACCATTCACGCGCCTTCCCTGAGAGTCTCATGCCAAACAATACTTTAGACAGATCGTCATCAAGTTTATACGTTAACTTAAGAAGTCGTATTTGTTTTTCTCACGCTTCAAAATCTTCCGATTTTCCATCAAAATGATGAAGCAAATCAGCTACTGCCGTTAAACTCGCACGCAACTGTGGAACTTGAACCGTATTACAAATGCTATTATTTACCTCATGCACCGGATTTACCGATTGATTATTTCTCTCCACACGAAGCGCAGTCAACTCACGACAGACTATTTCAAGTTCACGTTCTAACAGCATCTTCTCTCTTCTAGACATTTCCAATTCCTTCTGTATTAAAAATTTTTCTCGGTCGTCATGGATTCCAGATCCGCCTCGTTCTGTTGCTACCGATATATGCATTTCACCAAGATGATTAACGTAATTCTCTTCACCTTTATCACAACGATTATCTTCTTCGCCTCGATCATCATCATCCTTTTCGTTTTCATCACAATAATTATCCTCTTCACCTCGATCATTTCTACATGACTGCATCCAGTTGCCAGAAGGATCTTCTTGCATTATATGACTAATCAACTCGTTCTTATTTCCCGTCGTACGCAAGCCACAACTCTTGAGTTTAGCCTTTAATTCAGCAATTGTAAAAACGTTCGGATCCATCTTGAAACAATCTTCGTCGTTTGCCGTCTTTCGCTCAATTTTCGTCATTCGTCATTCTTCGCTCAATCTTCGTCGTTCTTTACTCAATCTCTTCGTCTTCCTATTTACTTTCAGACGAGCCCCCAAATGTGGAGTCTTTCAGCTAACGATTAGAAGAAAAGAGCAATTGAAAGTAACAGAACGATTTTATTTAATTAAAACTGGCAGAAAATATTTTTGAACGTTTTTACTCTCCGAAAAGATCTGACATCCCGCTCGCCTTTTAAAACATCAAACAATTACATTATCGGCCGTTTATTGTCTTGTCAATTAATCAATATTCTACTCTTACATACAGTGTTCTAATGTACTTAACCCAACGCAGAACCAAACCCTTACATATATGTATATATATTTATATATATATATATATATATATATATATATATATATA